TCAGTATAATCAAACACAGCTGGCCTCAAATGAAGGTGTAGAACCATCTCAGGGATGATCAGCAGAAATGGACAGCACCTAAGTTAAATATATGAGTGTCACAGCAAAGGGTCTGAATACTTATGACCATGTGATATTTCAGTTTTTCTTTTTTAATAAATCTGCAAAAATGTCAAAAATTCTGTGTTTTTCTGTCAATATGGGGTGCTGTGTGTACATTAATGAGGACAAAAATGACCTTAAATGATTTTAGCATATGGCTGCAATATAACAAAGCGTGAAAAATTTAAGGGGGTCTGAATACTTTCCGTACCCACTGTATATTGTTATTGTGTGGATGCTGAGTCAGCAGCCACACTATTGTTATCCTGGTTTTTATTGTATAGATGCTGAATCAGCATCCATAATATATATATCTTTATTGTGATGCACAGTAACACACACAGTGGTGCAGTGACACAGAGAGAGAGTGCTCTGCCTTCAAAATAAGACCCCCAAATTTGCCAAATAAAAGCCTCTGATTGCAAATTGTTTAAATGAAAGCCCCAAAATGTGCCTGACTTTTAAAATAAAAGCCCAGCATAATAACTGATCCTCACAAAGTTCTGGAAACATGCCAGATTTTTAGCTATAGCTTTATTCTGATAATTCAAATGAATGGGGGAAATTCTACTTCAGCATTTTCAGCTATTTCAGGTATCAAAATATTCAGCTCTTCCAAGACATTCATGTTTTCATTCAGAATTTTTCTAAACTTCATACTTTTGAAATATTTAGCTGTATTCTGAAAATCTCGCCCCATTCAAATGAATGGAAAATTCATTCAGGTGTCAATGTTCTGCATTTTCAGGGTGATCTTTCAGCACTCAGAATCCACATGCACTTTCTTCAGGAAATGCATTTTTTCTAGTTGTGTGGATGCGGTAGCATCCACACTCTTATCCTTTTCATTATTATTGTGTGGATGCTGTAAAGCAGAGAGGAACACTGCAGATGCCTCATACCCAGGACACAATCTGTTTGAACTCCTCCCCTCTGGACGCCGTTACAGGTCACTGTGCACCAGGACAATATTCCTATTTATCATGTTTCACAATGAGCATTCCTTTGTCTGTCTGCATTGTTTACTGCCTGTTTATACTGCTTATTTTGCATTGTTTGTTGCTTGCTAATACTGCTTATTTTGTTATATTACACAGCCTTATGCTGGTTTACTGTTTACTTGCCCCTTGCATGGGGATATGCACATGCACATTGAGAGCTGATGTACCAGAGTCTAATTCCTCATGTGTCTGACACACCTGGCCAATAAACCAGATTCTGATTCTGAAATATAATATTCCTTTTTTGTGCTTCATTATTTTGAAGCATATAGAGTATAATTCTGTATAGAGTGGGCGAATGGCAGTCATAATGTGGTTGAAGCTTTAGCCCCTTTTCCACCCCCTGATACCGGCTCATCTTGACTCGACTCACCTTATTTGTATTTCCCCCAGTCAAATGTTGGGGGTAGTACCTGGTATCTGGTACTATTTTTGGTATTGCCTCCATTGAGGGTCCAAGAGAGCACAGGCAATAACAAACAGTGACATGTAAACACTGCAGACTAGCAATTGGCCAGAGAAATCGCATCATCAATGTGTGAGACATCCTGGAACAAAGAAAGTGCCATTTTTTACAAGCAGTGTTATTTAACTCTAACCACTACTTGACTGTAGTTACTGTGATAGCTAAAAACAGCCACATACCCAGAATAAAGAACAGTATACTTTCAATGTCCTCCATTGTTACTGTGTCAGTCGCTGACAATGTCATGGCAGTGTAATTTGTTGTCGCTATGACAACCAGCTAAGCTGAGAGGGAATGATCTGCAGTGGAAAACCAAGCAACCAGTACCAAAAGTGAGTACAGCTGAGCTGAATTGAATTGAGTTGAGCCAATATCAGGTGATGGAAAAGGTCCTTTTGATGACTGATGTGATGCTGCTATGGAATATAACTGTTGGAAGCCTCCTATTGGTGGATCTATTGCATGAAGAAGGGCATTTTGTGTAGAAAGGGTTAGGGCTGCAGCTAGCATTTATTTTCTTGTTTAATCAGTCATATTGATTGTAAAAAGTACCGTGGGAAAAATCTGCTTTAGACATAATTAATAGTCTGCCTTTAATAACAGATTTTATCAAGATTATTTTATTTATATGTCAAATTTTGGGGTCAGTTTTAAGACTGGTTTTCTCTTGGCTTTGAAATATGGGTCTTTAAGATTTCTGCTTCCAGCCCAGTACAGTGGTGCTCATAGCATTAAAATTTGTAAGTTATAAATTGAACAGCAGCATTCATTTATTTTGGAGAAATGATAAAAACTGTTGACACATCTGTTGAAACAGTTTCTTGGGGAGAAAATACATTTCACTGCTTTGGATGGAAGCCAAAGTCTCAAATAGGGGCATGATACAATGAGAGGGAATAAAAAAATGCTTTTTGTTATTTGGGTTAACAGATCTTTTATTAAGTAAGCCTTGTGCCTCAGTACCCACTCAGAGATATAAGCAGGATGAAGAGTAAGTTCATTCTCTACCTACAGTAGAAGATTGTGTTAAGTCATGCCACCAGCTGTGACCATGGTTACTTACACCGCAGCAATATCTGACTATCTGGACTGTGACTTTTACTGTATTTTGCCTGCTTCTCTGGGGAGTTTATGTGCTTATAATTGGTTGCGCTAAGGTGTTTAGTTCAGTCAGCTGAGCTGTATTGTGTGTTTTGTGTTGACAGTATGGCAGAAGCCCCCTGCACTTGGCTGCCTACAAAGGCCACATTGAGGTTGTGCGTATTCTGCTCAAAGCTGGCTGTGACCTGGACATTCAAGACGATGTGAGTAGAGTCATCTGGCTGTCTGCTGTGTTCCTGTTTCCATTTTTCATGCACTTCCACATGCACTGCAGGCCTGACGGATGGTTACCAGGCTGCTTCTGTTTTTGCCTTCAGTTCTGTTAAATTGGAATAACCATTTTTAATAATTAAGTTTTTAAACACAAACACAGTGGTATTCTAATGACCTGTAGTGGCCTTGTGTGGGAATTTTTAACTGCCCACTAGTTGGTTTGCCCTCAGCACGCAAGCCCACCTTCCACGCAAATACTGATAGCCCAGCTCTCTGGTGTGCCAGGTTCACTTGCTGTGCTCAGTGCCCTCTGCAACAAACTGCAGTACATCCTCCAGCATTGGAGGGAGCAGGAGGGCCAGACTGAGGCCGGAGGAGGTGGAGGGTAAAAAACAGTGGAGGATGGCTGGGAAGAGAGTGAAAGAGGTTAACATAACCTGCTCCTGTTGAGCCAGTGAAAATCTGTCCTTCCATCCTTCCCTCTCTGAGCAATCTCTCCTCCTGCACTGCTGCTGCTGTGCTCAGTTCTTATCTTACTCTCCTTCCTGCTTTTTGTTTTTCTCTTATCATTGACCATTGCGCTTTCTTCCAGCGCTCTCATGTCAAACATGGCCTGCTAAGTGTCACTCATCACTAATTTGCTCTGTGGGCAGGAATTCCATCAATGGATGAACATGAATGTGAGCTGAACATTTTTCCTGAGGCTGAATGCTCAGTGCTTGTATATTATTTAATAGACCACAGTGGACTGGTAACAGCAAACAGCTATTTCAGATTGACCACTTTGTGCTTCTTATGCGCTTGGATCATTAACATTACTTCTGCTTTAGTCAGTAATACAGTAACTCTGCTTGGATTTGTGTAAGTGCTTAGCTTACAAAACTGTCAGCGAGAAAGAATTTGTTTTTGGGGGAATTTGTCCTGTTATATGAATATAAAGTATATACGTTTAGGCTTAATTTAATCTGGGGTTTAATGTTTCATACTTTGTAGCCTATTAGCCTGTGAGCTTCTCATCTGTATCTGCTGTTTCCAAATAGATGCTGTTGGTTGCATGAGATTTAGTTGTTAAAAATATGAGTCTCTAAACATTTAGAGTTGCATTTCTTTTGAGCAGGCTGTTGTTGGAAACCAATGCAGGAATTAAGCTAAGCTTGGCTAATTTTATCAGTAATATCCTTAAACGACATGCAATCATAACCAAGGACATCCCAGTGACAAAACTGTCTCCTTAAATTAATATGTTAACATTTTGGGAAGTAAGTTTGTTTGTCCTGGTTAGAGCACAGTTATCTTAACATAAACACTAGAAGCTCAGGCAAACAGCCAGTAAAAACCCACTTACTAACATCTTGTTGTCCTGCATTACCATCTCTTTTTATTACAAACATGTAAGTGCAGGTGTGTTTGAATTTCAGGGGTGTATAATATGCTGGAACTATTTCTTGAATTTATCCATTTGTTCAGCATTTCTGTGCAGCAGCTTTATCACAGTTTGGCTGGTGTGCACATGTGGTAGTTTTGGTTTCTGTGAAGGCACAAGTTATTGTTTGTCAGGAAACAATTTCTGCACATAATTCCACCTAAAACTGTTGCTTATTTTTACATTTCTGTTTTGTGTAAGAATTTAAAAACACAAGCGGTGTTCATTATTGAGCTTTAACAAAACTGGATGTGCACTCCCTATGTTCCATCCATCCAGCCATCTTCCTCCGCTTATCTGGAACTGGGTCGCAGGGGCAGCAGTCTAAGCAAAGATGCCCAGACTTCCCTCTCTCCAGACACTTCCTCCAGCTCCTCCGGGGGAATGCTGAGACGTTCCCAGGCCAGCCGAGAGACATAGTCCCTCCAGCGTGTCCTGGGTCTTCCCCGGGGTCCCCGCCCGGTGGGACATGCCCAGAACACCTCCCTAGGAAGGTGCCCAGGAGGCATCCGAAACAGATGCCCAAGCCACCTCAGCTGGCTCCTCTCGATGTGGAGGAGCAGCGGTTCTACTCTGAGCTCCTCCCGAGTGACCAAGCTCCTCACCCTATCTCTGAGGGTGCGCCCGGCCACCCTGTGGAGAAAGCTCATTTCGGCCGCCTGTATTCGGGATCTTGCCCTTTCGGTCATGACCCAAAGCTCATGACCATAGGTGAGAGTCGGAACATAGATTGACCAGTAAATCGAGAGCTTCACCTTACAGCTCAGCTCCTTCTTCACCATGACGGACCGGTACATCGACCGCATTACTGCAGAAGCTGCACTGATCTGCTTGTCAATCTCCCGTTCCATCCTTCCCTCACTCGTGAACAAGACCCCAAGATACTTGAACTCCTCCACCTGAGGCAGGAACTCTCCACCAACCTGAAGGGAACAAGCCATCCTTGTTCACTCCCTATGTTTTGTTTCATTATTGAGCTTTGGACTTGCTGGTAGGTACTGTATATTATACTTTGGATAGCTAGGTGTTTCCACTCAGTGTTGTGTATTTGTGTTTCTGTTGGCAGGGGAAGCAGACAGCATTACACCGGGCTGCTGTGGTGGGAAACAGTGACATTATCAGTGCTCTCATTCAGGAAGGGTGTGCACTGGACAGACAGGACAAGGTGCAGTTCAAAAGACAGGAACACCCACACATCCAAACACACAAAGAGGCTTATGACTCTCTACGACAAGTCAGTCAGCAGAACAAGTGGATTTCAAAGCTATCACAATGACTGCATTTAAGGATCAAATGATCATGGATATACTAGTGTGTCTATCTGTTCAGGCTCAGTGTCCCATGAAAAGTTGTGTATTTAGAGTATTTAATAGAAATGACTTGTTCACAAATGCAGCCAGTCTTATAGGGATTATAGCCAGAAACACAAATATTTTCCTTTGTTCTCTTGTTATTATACAGTATATCAAAACTCTTCATTTGGAGTTTTAGTGAGTATGTTTTTTTTAGATACTTTAATTAATGGTGTACAAAATGTACAAAAATAATCCATGCCTCTCGCCAATGTCAGATGGGTTAGGCTCAATCCCCCCTGTGACCCTATTCAGGAATAAGTGGTATAAATAATGGATGGATGGATGTGCTGGTATAAAGTCCAGTGCATCAGTCCAACTGTTTGTTAATGTGGCTTTTGTTGTTTGTCAGGATGGCAACACTTCTCTCCATGAGGTATCCTGGCATGGCTTCAGCCAGTGTGTCAAACTGCTGGTGAAGGCTGGAGCCAACGTTCATGCCAAAAACAAGGTGATTCTTGAGTGGAGTTCCCAACTGTGGACCACAGCACTGATTAAATAAATTTGCTAGGAGCTCCTTCCCTCAGATTTCCTTCAGTGCTTACTGTACTAATTACAATATAAAACTGTTGTACTACACATCAAAACTTTGCAAATCAAGCTTATCAATGGCCTGAAGCAGAAATAAAACATTGTTCCTTATACATGTGAAAATAATGTATTCATAAATAATTAGCTTTTTTTTTTCTTTGCTGCTACAGCCTTACTTGGTCTGCTGGGACTAGTAGCTTGGTGTGGCTAATGTTAACAAACCTCAGATCGATGTTACTGATACCACTGACTTTATGACACTTTTATACCACACTACATCTTAGTATGTTGTACATAAATAATTAAAAGGTTTTTATCAGAAAAGTAAAACAAGAAGTAAATTCAGGGTGTCTCACCAGGAAACATGTTTTTAGTTTCTGCCTTGTGATCTCATTACACTCAACTATCAGTGAGGTAACCGAATGATGATGTCTTTAAAGGAGCTGACTCAAGATGAATCTTGTCAGATTAAAAAAACGTGTGTGCCATTATCCTGCATTTACCACTTTTTAGTGTATATATTTATATATCTGGCTCATATTGTAAATTTGGCTGTAAACACACATGATGAAAGTAGTTGCAGTAGCATGACTGACAGATGAAGCATTGCCAGAGCATCAAACCTGAATGATTTGATAAAAACACAGCCCTAGTAAACACCAACAAAAGCTAAGACTCTGACTCCTTCCTCCTCTTGTTTCCAGGCAGGAAACACAGCTCTCCACCTTGCATGTCAGAATGGTCATGCTCAGAGTTCCAAGTTTCTGCTCCTGGGAGGCTCTAGGCCTGACAGCAAGAACCATGTAAGTCACCCGCCAGAGTTAATCAAAAGGATATACAGACAGCCAGACTAATGAACAAGAAACATTTTTTATTTTTCCTGTATACCTAAATGAATGTATTTATTCTGGATCCAGGAAACAGACTGCAAACATAAGAAACATAATTGAATCTGCTTCACTACTCCTTAGGCTCAGCAGACATTGTATGGCTAGCCCAATCAGTGACCTCCAACTTTAAAACATAATAGTGTGAGGTAACACATCATACACAATCAGTAAAAACTGCACAGTGTCTGTCTGCTTTTATTCCACCAGTCTCTTATACCAAGCTGTAATGAGCAGAGGCTCTTAGTTGTTTTGTGTATGGAAACGAATTCCTGTAAGCACAGTTTACTATAAGGCTATCTCCAGACACCGAAACACTATAATCTTTATGACCCGACAGTCTGACATCAAAGTTATAGTGACCATTACAAGTTATAACAAAAGATAAGAGTGATTCAGCAGTTATTCATTGTAGATTTCAGTTGATTCTATAGCTCAGACACACACAAGGCATCTTTCTCCTCTTGGTCTTAACTATATAAAGAGCATTTTATGAGTTTTAGATAACGGTTGCTTTCCAGTGTAATTACCTTAAACAAAGGAGATAAAGGTTAAAATAAGAGGTGCTTCTGTTTTAGTGGCTTACTCAGAGTTTCTAATATGAAGACCACAGTTTCCATAAGTCCCATTGTTGTATTTGTGTGTGTGTGTGCATGAACCTGGTATTACTCACATTGTGAAGACTAAAACCTGTTTACACACTGACATTGTGGGGATATGCCTTCCACGCCATGTAAATCACTAAATATTATTATTATTATGACTTGGTTTAAGGTTAGGTGTTAGGCAAGTAGTGGTTATCGTTAAGGTTATGGTGAGTGTCCAGGGACTAGAATGTAAGTCAGTGGAAAGTCCCTATAAAGAATGAAAATGTGTGTTTGTGTATGTGTAGAAATGATGACGTGGAAAGTTTTTTATTGTGTATGTGTAACATATATTGTAGGGATGTCCTGATCCAGTTCTTTTGGCCCCGAAACACATCCAATTCCTTTACTGTAATACAGTTCAAAACTCTGACAAATAATAGACAGTGAGGAAATTACTGGCTACACTTGCATGTGAAAGTACTGTATAGTAACACATGGCAAAACACAGCAAATAAAAACTACACACACTTTTAACTGCCATGTTCAGTAGGAGTGGTAACAGGCGATAGATCATGTGTTTAAACTGTTTTGTTTTATGTATTTGTCTATTTTGGTAGAGTTCTGTTTGGAACTAGTGAGCCTTCATTGTTTTGGTGAATTCTGTGGAGTGTTTTATGTGTGTAGCTTTGAAAAAAATAGACCTGAATCTAAAAATAGGCTTTATGTAGCAGCTGTGCATCAGTGATATGCCAGCTGACACGCAGGCAGTGTACACACTTGGACTGATTAATATTGTAGCTTATTGATTGCATCTCAAAAATGCAAATGTGTTACTCAAATACAGGACTGTAGTTAAGGATCAGAAATGGGTCAGCTTTAGGATAAGGGGATAATCACTTATTGGCCAAGTATGTTACACACAAGGAATTTATTTCTGGTACAGAGCTGACTGCAGCCATCTGCGGCACCAACTCAACCGATGGCTCTAACCACCGGGGGCAATGGGGGGGTTCAGTGTCTTGCCCAAGGACACTTCGACACATGGGCTGCAGGCATCGAGATTCAAACCTTCTGGTTGGGAGACAACTGCTCTACCCACCGCACCACTGTCACCTCCCCTGCAGGACAACACAAGCAGAAGCTTGTGTTTATTTTATTCTGGTTGATACGATCCGGTGAAAAATTCCCGGATTGGCACCAGTACCTAGTATTGGACTGGGACAACTCTAATATGTAGTCGTCATATTAAATAGTCTCTCTGCTGTGATTTATTTATTTTTTTTCACTTACTGACTGATCTGCAACTCCCTTCTTAACATGAGGGGTTACAGGGGGGAGTGTTGTAAGCATGCGTGATACAGCCACATTGTGACGAGTTGACCTGGGTGGCTTCAATCTCATTTCCAGCCTGGGAGTTTCCATTGTGCTTTGGTTCACCATGCTACTAATGTAGTGTTACGGGCCCCAATGGTGGAGTGGCCGTAGCAGGAAAGAATTTCTGGAAAATAATGTAATAGGCAAAAGCAATGAATACGAGAAGCACTGTCGTTCACGTCCAGATTGCGTCTCTTTAATTGCTGTCCAACAGAACACATTTTAATACATTCATATCATTACTTCAATATAAACCCATTTTATGGACAAGTATAAAACTCTGTGTCCTTACAACTGAATCTGCATAACCCATGTGTGTTTACAACTGTTGCACTGGGTCCTTATCAAACATAGACGGTGCATATTTCTTTCACATAAGGCAAATGAACACATTCCAGTGCTAGTCTATGAACTCTCGCGGTATTTCAACCACGCATTCTCACGGGTTTTTCTGCATACGGCCCGCTTTACTGCCGGCCAGAAACGCAAACAATTAACTATTTTTGTCAAATACGTACAAACAAGCACCACAGTAAACTCATATACTAGTACAGAAGCAAAGCAAAGCTTTATAAAGTTACTGTTGGAAAGTTTTACCGTGTACTAACCTGGAAAATAATGCAATAGGCAAGAGCAATGAATACCAGGAGCACTGTCGTTCATGTCCAGATTGCGTCTGAGATAACAGGAAGTCCACCTGCTAAGGGCAACCTGGGGGGGCGACCACTCCCAAAACGAAGTTTCCACTTCACTTTTCATGCTCTGTACCCACTATTAAATCAGGAAAGCACTTGAAAATGACACAGTACGATGTCTCTTAATATTAAATGTAGGTATACAGTTAGACTGTATGAATTAAATCTGTTTTTGGCCAATTGCAAGCTGCTCTTCATTGCGGTGTGCAGTGTGTGTTATCACTCATCTGTAGCTGCTGTGTCGCATCTGTAGGCACAGTGACGGTCTCATCCGCTGTCCCTCCTCCCCCTTCGCCGCCACCAACCTGGCTTCAGTCAGATATCATGGGCACTGGTGAATGTTCTCCAATTCACGTCCACAGCTCCTTTGTAGCTCCTTTTCGGCCTTATCTTCTTTGGCCCACTGTTTCTGCTGCAGCTGATCCTGGGCATGACTGGCATGACGTCGTAGTTCACTCAGACGGGCGTCTGTGTAGCTGACACAGGATATCTTAGCTGCTACTGCAATTTCGGGTCTCAGTCCATTCAGAAAGCAGTTGCTAAGATGTGTTTCCCACACACTAGGAGCATTGCCCAAATCAGCTGGTTGCTCCTGGCCACTATGAAGGTTAAACAGCTCTGTGAGGCGGTGTAAATACTCCTCTGTCGATTTTCCATCCCGTTGTCTGCAAGATGTGATTTTACTCATGTCCACTTTAGTGGAAACCGGTCATGGAACACAACTCCCAGGGCTGTAATAGCATCTCTGTATGGGGTGTTATCAACGTGAGTCCATTCAGTATTGCAGACACGCAGGTCATTTACTGGGAAACGACGAGTCACATGCTGGAGGTCGACAGGTTTCATTTTTGTTGCTAAGAGGCGTTTCAGTTCAGCCATGGTGGGATGAAATTCAGTGCAGAAAATAGAGAGCTGTTCTGCAAATTTCTGTCCAGATGCTGTTGGGTCTGGAAGATGTTGTGCTGCAGCAGTAATATCAGCAGTGGACCATGTTCAGAACACAAGGATGGGACCAGTAGGGCCAGACACTTCAACCATGGGTAATGATAGTTCAGCATTGGAAGATGGGCCAGCGGCTGCACTCACGTCATACGCAGCACTACTGCGCGTTGTCTGCAGCGACAGAAGGCCCAGAGAGGCCGGTGGGTCGTATGGTGGGGGTTTGATGTCAGGTCTGTCCTTGTTGGATACTTGGATCTCGTCAGTGATGATCCAGGGCATCCTCTGACAGTCCCCAATCACTCAGAAATATGGATGAGGTTTGGGGCTGAGAAAATTGTTGTTCCTAGGCTGGCCAGGCCCTGTCTGACGGACGTCCTAGACAACCACTCGAGGGATCTCATCCTTGTCACAGCCACACAAATGACTGCATACCATGACTTGAAAGCACTGGCTAATAAACTTAAAGGGTGCTATGATAAAAATTGCCACTACAAGAGTGAGGAGCTCGGTCACTCAGGAGGAGCTCAGAGTAGAACTGCTGCTCCTCCACATCGAGAGGAGCAAGCTGAGGTGGCTCAGGCATCTGTTTCAGATGTTCTCCTGGGCACCTTCCTAGGGAGGTGTTCCAGGCATGTCCCACTGGGAGGAGGCCCCAGGGAAGACCTAGGACACACTGGAGGGACTATGTCTCTCAGCTGGCCTGGGAAGGCCTTGGCATTTCCCTGGAGGAGCTAAAGGAAGTGTCTGGAGAGAGGGAAGTCTGGGCATCTTTGCTTAGACTGCTGCCCCCACGACCCGGTTCCGGAAAAGCGGAGGAAGATGGATGGATGGATGAACAAAATGCCATATGTATGAACAGAGTGTATAGTAGGATCCACAGGACATTGCATATGCATGCAGCATCTAATGTACATGTCTGTTTTCAGACAAGCTCTCTTAGCTTAGAAATCCGTCTTTAGGTTTTCTCAGTGCACATGCACTGAGAATCCGTTGAAGGATCTGTCGAAGTTTATTGATGTCATGTCCAGTTTGTGAACATACTGATTATTTTACATCTTTTTTTGTCTGATATTATACACTGCTCAAAAAAATAAAGGGAACACTTAAACAACACAATGTAACTCCAAGTCAATCACACTTCTGTGAAATCAAACTGTCCACTTAGGTAGCAACACTGATTGACAATCAATTCCACATGCTGTTGTGCAAATGGAATAGACAACAGGTGGAAAGCATAGGCAGTTAGCAAGACATCCCCAATAAAGGAGTGGTTCTGCAGGTGGTGACCACAGACCACTTCTCAGTTCCTATGCTTTCTGGCTGATGGTTTGGTCACTTTTGAATGCTGGTGGTGCTTTCACTCTAGTGCTAGCATGAGACAGAGTCTACAACCCACACAAGTGGCTCAAGTAGTGCAGCTTATCCAGGATGGCACATCAATGCGAGCTGTGGCAAGAAGGTTTGCTGTGTCTGTCAGTGTAGTGTCCAGAGCATGGAGGCGCTACCAGGAGACAGGCCAGTACATCAGGAGATGTGGAGGAGGCCGTAGGAGGGCAACAACCCAGTATCAGGACCGCTACCTCCACCTTTGTGCAAGGAGGGACAGGAGGAGCACTGCCAGAGCCCTGCAAAATGACCTCCAGCGGGCCACAAATCTGCATGTGTCTGCTCAAACGGTCAGAAACAGACTCCATGAGGGTGGTATGAGGGCCCGACGTCCACAGGTGGGGGTTGTGCTTACAGCCCAACACCGTGCAGCACGTTTGGCATTTGCCAGAGAACACCAAGATTGGCAAATTCGCCACTGGCGCCCTG